AAAATCACCCAGCTTACCATGGTGTAAAGAGGCTGGAGTGCTGTACTGAGAAGACAGAGATCATAGTGGGGGCAGCTGAAGCCATTGGAACCTATGGGGTTGGGCGGCAGAGAAGAGAGCTATTCAGAGGTAGCCCCAGGGGTTACTACAAGTCCAGGTCTATATAATCAGAGCAAGACCACCTGATGCTTACCAGATAGCAGTTCCTACACAATTGAGAATGGAATAGAGATAACAAAGGTCAAATGTTGGCATAAAAGCAGTGCTGAGGGACATTGGGTTTCTGGGCCTGTCAAGATGGAGATCTCCTTAACAACTGTGGCATGCAGCTGAAACACTAGAAAGGTTATACCTTAGGAGTAGACCATGCCCTAGGGTAAGAATTACTCTAGACCTGCGCTAACATGCTCTGAGAAGATTGTCATGGAAGACAGTATGGAGATTGAGTCCTGCTAAGTTGGAACTTGTGAAATTTCTTAGGCTTTCCATAGACATGGACTAACAAAACAAAATCAAGCCTATTCCAGTATAAGGTGACCAGTCAGTAACTGAAAGTACCTGCTAAAATAAGAATTATCACTTTTCAGAAGAAGATAACAATTCAGAATCTCTACAACATATACGCAATGTCCAGTATTCAATAAAAAATTTATTAGACATATGAAGACAAAAATGTGATCCAGTTTTAAAAATTCCACATGGCCTTCATTACTTTTTATATTTGTTATTTGTTAATGCAGGTATTAAAAACAAGTTCAAAGAGTAAATGAAAATATGTTTTAAATGAGTGAACAGAGAATCTCAGCACAGAAATGAAAATTATAAAAAACCTAATGGGAATTCTAGAACTGCAAAGTACAATAAATGAAAATTTCATTGGATAGGTTTAATAGCAGATAGAGATGGCAGGAGAATGAACTTGAAGATGTAAAATATACTCATTTCATAAATATTTGGAAATAGAGAGTTGAAATGTCAAGAGACTCAGAAATGTGGATTTGGAATTCATTTTTCAAATATTGAGTCCTCAAGATGCTATCCACCCCACCCCTTAACACATAAGTCCCATCATGAAAGAACAATGATCATCCTTTCTGTTGCTTACTGAGTACTTAATATGTGTAGAGAACTGTTCTGAATACTGGGGCTATGATAGTGACAAAGTCCCTGCCTTCATGGAACTTGCCAGAGGGAGAGAGAATTATTTTCTATACTCATAGTGATAAGTATAAGAAAAATCAGAATAAAGGAATAGCAATGGAGGAGTGCTATTTTAGATAGGATGATCAAGGAGGGCCTTTCTGAAAGGTGGTGTGAGAACAAGCCATGTGAATATCCTGTGCAACACTATCCAATGGAAATATACTGCAAACCAATTTAAAATTTTCTAGTAGCAACATTTAAAAAACAAGTGAAATTTTGATGTTTAACCAATATAGCGAAAATATTATCACTTAAACATGTAATCAATACTATATAATACTATTAATATTTTATATTCTTTTGTACTAAACCTGAAATCTAGTGTATATATTACATTTATAGCACATCTCAATTTGGACACTAAATTGTCATTGGAAATATGTGATTGTTATTTAGAGTTCATTCGATTTGATTTCTAGTTCAATAAGTATATTCACATACTCATGTTCCAAGCATCCTTAGGAAGTTTTCCAATAACTAAATCAAGTGTTAATTTTTTTTCAATAGACTTTACCTTAGGCAGTTTTAGGTTCACAGCAAAATTGAGTAGAAAGCATAGAGTTCTCCCTTCCCCCAGCTTCCCTCACCATCAACATCCTGTTCCAGTATAGAATTGTTTGTTACAATTGATAAACAAACTTTGACACATTATCAACCAAAGTTTTTAGTTTGCACTAGGATTCACACTTTGTATTGTATATTCTATGTGTTTGGACAAATGTGTAATGAACGACACATATCCACCATTATAGTATTATGCAGAATAATTTCACTTCCCTAAAAATCACTTCTGTTTCACTTACTCCTCCTTCCTTGGCTCTAAACCCCTGTCTTTTCATTGTCTCCATAGTTTGACCTTTGCCAGAATGTCATGTAATAGGAATCATACAGTACACAGCCTTTTTAGAGTGGCTTATTTCATTTAGTAATATGCAGTTGAGTCGCCCATGTCTTTTCATGGCTTGATAGCTCATTTCTTTTTAGCTGAAGAATATTCCATTATATGGATGTACCAAAGTTTATCCGTTCACCTACTAGAGGACATCTTGGTTGCTCCAAGTTTTAGCAATTATGAATAAAGCTGCTCTAAACATTCGTGTGCAGGTTTTTGTGTAAATGTAAATTTTCATCTCCTTTGAGTAAATACCAAGGAGCGATTTTTTTATTGTAGTACTATATACATAAAATTTACCATTGTACATTTAAAGTGTATAATTCAGAGGCATTAAGTACATCCACAATGTGCAATCATCACCAATATTGAGTTCCAGAACTTTTTCATCACTCTAAATGGAAGCTCTGTAAAAGTTTCTTGAGTATTATTTTAAATTTAAGTTAATTAAAATCAAATAAAGTTAAAATTTAAGTTTCTCAGTCACCAGCCACATTTTAAGTGCTTAGTAGCTTTATGGGGCTAATGGTTTTAAATAGCACAAGTTTAGGGGAAGAGAATTAGAGGCAGAGGAAACAATAAATACAAAGCCCTTGATAGCGGAATACACTTTTCAAAGAACAGTTGGCCAGTATGACTGGAGTACAAAGAGCAAGTGGTAGGGAGTGTACTCAGTGAAGTAGCCAAGAGTCAGCAAATAAAGCACTTTGCATGTCATAGTAAAGACTTAGATGTTAGGGATGCTGGAAAGGTAATAAAGAGATTAAAAATGATTACTCTGGCTGCTGTGTTGGGAAGATTAAAGGAGGTTTGAGATTGAAGCAGGAAGACTTCAAAGGCTGTTATAGTATTCCAGGTGAGAGATGGTGGTTCTTGAACTAGAAAGGTAGCTGAGGTGAAGAGAAATATTTGGATTCAGGATATATTTTGAAGGTTTAGTTTATTGCACTTACAATGGATTTGACGTTAGATATTAGAAAAAAATTATTCTGTAAGGTGAACACAGTGCAGCAGGTTTGAGAGAAAATTAAGAGTTTAGTTTTGATCCCATTAAGTTGCAGATGGTCATTGCTATCAAGTGATCACAATATTAGAGCAAAATGACTCCTTTGATATTTCAATATTTATTATGACTATTACTTCCTTAGTGAGTTGCAACAAGAGAATGATAAAAATATAATTCATAGAGATAAAATTATTATGAGAATGGATTTGTGAAGTGCATATGCCTCTTATATTGGGGTAAAAATATATTCCATATACTCTGGAAGAAAGGACCTCCTGAAAGACTGTTGAAGATCCAAGATATTTCTATGGCATTACTTAGTGGACATCTTATTTCATTAATGTTTTCACATAGCAATAACTTTAAATAGTTAAAAAAGCAGGCATGCACATCTCTGCACACAAAGCGCTTTGTAAATGGCGTATTTTAAATTTTCGGAGGTTTTAAGTTACCACTTGGAACAATATTTTTTTAGAAAAGTTTTTTTTTACCTGATTTAAAAATTAGTCGTCAATTGGGGGTAATTGTTTATATTCTATTGCTTTACATGATACATACTGGATAATCAGTAACCATTTGATTTCCAATTGTTTTTTTCAGGAATCTATTATTTTGTGGAATATTTCCAGTTCTGCACGCTGTCTACTTCGGGCTCTCAGTAAATGTCGCATTCAGAGCATTCCTGTACTAGGAAGATTTAAGGTGCAAATAACTCAGGGCTCTGACAGGATCTGCAGTATACAAAGCTTTCAGAAGACAACCCACCTGCTTCATACGTTGAAACAGAAACAACCAGATAGATGCACAAGGTTCTCTGCTTACCACTCAGCCTCATCTCTCTTCACAATCTTCCCATCTCTGTCCCAGCGCATACAACTACTTCCCCAATGTTCAACGCAATCTTGTATTTGGACCTTTCCATCTGATTGCTTTACCTAGACACTCTTCCTCTGTAACATCAACTCTTCCTTTATGTATCACTTACATGTCACTCATGAGAGCCTTCCCAGGCCGTCACCGGCAACCCTCGTTTGTCTTACAACGCCTGTCAAGAACTCTTATAGTCATTCTATCACACTATTTTAATTGTTTGTCTGTCTTCTTCAATAGACTGTTAAGTCTGAGAAGGCAGGGTTCATTCACTGTTGTGCAGTGTTGTATCTCTCGCACCTAGTATTGGCCTAACAGTGTTTTTTCAATAAATATTTCTTGATTGAATAATGAGTGGCTGGAATTTCAGTAAATAGTTAATGCTCTTCCAACCACTCGGCTTGGTTTTCTGATATCCACTAGGACTGCACGCCCCAGACTGACACATTTTCACCCTGTGAGGCTGACCGTCCTTTGACCCAGAGTTGCAGGTAGAAAATCATGTCTGAATCTGACTTCTCAGCAGAGTGACCGCCGACACCTCGTGGAGACGAAGGGCGTGGGTTTGTATAACAGATCCACGAGCAACTGCTATACCCTCTAGGCAATGAGCTGGGAAAAGGGCCTTTGCTATCAGGATCCCAGGAAAGACGAAGGATTCGTCTTAACCCCACCTCTGGCAGCGCTCTCCGCTCACTGCCACCTCCAGCGCGCCAAGCCGTTAGTCCCACCCCATCACACTCGGCTCCACCCACCTGGCGCGCCAGGGTTACTAAAATCCTAGCCGCCAGAGTACGCGACGCGTTCCTAAGCCCCGCCTCCGGGGCGAGGGCACGCTCCCCCTCCCAGCTGTGCCTAAGCCGTTCCGTTAGTAGCGGGAGGAAAAACCGTCCTTCGGGTCCCCGCCTCTCCACTCCCAACGCTTTACTCCCTACTCCCCCTGCGACCACTACACAGCTACGGAGGCCCCTAAAGTACAAATATCCCCCAGACCCTTGGCGTATCCTGATAGGTTTTGTTTTTGTTATTCCATCTGGTCCTGAGGCTCTGCATTCAGTTTTTGTCAGGAATTCTGTCTCGCGATTTTCCTCCGGCAGCAAGAACTCCAACGATCTTCACGGAAGTAAAAGTTTTTCTTTTTTCTTTTTTTTTGCTGCTGTGGCCGCCCACATTCCTTCCCTCCCACCTCGCGGAATTGTGGCGGGAGGGGGAGGAGGAAGTCAAAGCGCCTGCGCGGAGAGGCCGCTTTCCATCCGGGTCCCTGTCCGTGCGGTGCAGCAGGTCGGTAGGCGGGAAATGGCGACTGGCTGAAGGAGCTGGTTCTGTTGCTGCTGCGGGCTAAGCGGGAAAGACACCACACATTGCGCAGTCGGGACCATCACCAGAGCCTGAGGACACTTCTCTGTCGTCACAGTTAGGTAATCTCCCTCGTCCAGACACTGCCGCTGCTCCCAGCCTTAGTCTTCCTCCTCTTCAAGGGCCGTCTGCCGGGATCTCCTCCCCTTCCCAACCGGGCTCTCCAGCGGCTCCCGCGCCTTGGTAGGCATGCAGTGTTGGCGCCTCGAAAGTCCGCTGTGTGGAGCCGCTCTTCTTTGGACTTTCCCCTGGGAACAGAAAGGGCGCTCACTTCCCGCCAGCTTCAGCTCCCAGGCTGCGCGGCCTGTGTTGTGATTTCTGGGGTTAGATTTCACTTTGCTACCCACCCCCCACCCCAGCCCCGCCTCGATCTCACGTTCCTAGTTCCAAACCTTGTGGTCCCTCTCGGTAATTGGGTTAAATCAGCTTTTCTAACCTTGGCCCACCTGATGTTTTCGATATTTCATTCTTTCTAGTAGGGTGCTTTTAGGGGGGCGTTGCTCTATCAGTTTTTATAAAAACCTTTTGATGTTCTAGAAGGAGAGATTTCAGAAAGTTCTGTTCATCTTCTGTACTGTTAAAACATTGAGTTGACATTTTACTTTTTCAAGTCAAGAATGGTTGTAAAGGACGGTCCATGTGGAAGGCCTGTGGTTTCTGTAGTGGTCAATTAAGGGTGAATCTTATGGTATTCTTCGTAGTATTTTACGCTTTCTTTGGGTATTAAACGCCTGTATGGATGTTTACTTTTCAATTCTTGACGAGAATTTCGTGAATAAGTAAATTGTGTTTATTTACTTCTCACCCTATTGGTGGCTGGATGTGTGATGATGTTAAGCACTTTAGAGTATCGTAGATTAGACTAAAGAGATACTGCTCGTAAACTGCCTTAAGATCTTCAAATGAAATGTACTTACAGTAGTTGTTCCTTTAAGGCAGGGATTTATCTTTCTAATGCTAATAAAGTAATATCAAGATTATTGCTCAACATGGGTATACAAATTAGTGACTTAAGAGGATAGATTTATCTTCATAATTTGCAGATCGCAGATTTTTTAATATACTGTTTTTCTATTCTTTGCTAAGTTTTACATTTTCGTTTGTTGTCCAGCTGTTAAAGCAAGGAAATGGCTAGTTAAAGCTAGTTTTATTCTTTTTTTTTTTTTTTTTAAACATTGCAGACCAGTTGTCCATAAAGAGAAGTAATAAGGAGGCTGTCGGTGTTTTTCAGAATTTGTTTTTTGACCGTGTTGAATTTGGGGTTGTTGTTGTTTTAACTAGTTAAATTAATTTTTTAAATTTATTACATGTCATTTGATGTTAATCACTTGAAGGCTTCAGCTCTCTAGGTCCAGTTTAGAAGACGTCACTATTGTTAGCATGTTAGGGTTAAATTTCAATAATAAATAGAAACACACAAACATCGTTATAGTCGACATTTGGTAGATTTCCCCCCAAGGTCATAAAGAAAGTCAAGGCAAATGTAGCTCTTAATGTGAAGCAGTCTTTTAGGATGGAGTTGAACTTCATACTTATCTTCTAGGACCAAAAGATTAGGGAGTGAGAAGTGGTAGGGAGGGCATGTTGGATACTTGCTGAGTCAATTTGTTTAAAAAGTAGGGCCAAATATGTGACTTAAAAGGATGTAAAATAAGTTATTGGCTTAAATGTAGGCTTTATCTGCACTTTAATAACCTTTTGGGGTAGTTAATAAAGCATTAACGGTTTTAATAAAATTCGGTTTATAGGTAGCTGAATGAGCATTGTCTGTAGACTTTGTCTTCAAGAATTCACCAAAATTGTTTTAATTTTGCGTTCATTTAGTACCTGCGCTCTTCTGATAATCTCAGTATGATCTGAAAGGATGTGAAAGCTCTAGGTGGTATAGTCCTTAACCTTTGTGGATTTGTAGCTATATAGAAATTACAAGTAGGATTGCATAGAAAAACCGAATAGGATTGATATGTTTTATAATATTCCAATCTATGTAGAAGCTAGTAATATTCTTTTTCCACTGTTAAGAAATTAAGAATTGGGGAACTTGTATCTTTCCCAGATTCATCTAGCTGATCCCATGTTTGAGATTTCTGGTCAAGAGGTTTCTTCACAAGATTATTCTATAACTGAAATCATCCAATTCTGGTTTTAAAAAAACTTGGACCTGGTGTTAGGAAAAGAGTACTAGACTTCAGGCTGTAGAATTAATTGCAGATTTAATAAAATGGTATTAAATTATCTCGGTCATAGGAGACTGTGCTTTGGATTAATGTGATGAAAAGTAAAGTGGTATGTCAATTCAAAATAAACACTAGTTATATTTGTAATTTACCAAGTTGTTGTGAAAGCATAAAGTAGAAAAGACACTAAATAGTTATAAATAGCGAATATGCTGAGAGAACTTCATATATGGTGTGCTCTAAGTAATTCTTCTGACTAGATTAAAAAGTTACCTGACCATTTTAACTGAATTGGCTACAGGGGTCATTTGCTGTACTTTGAAGATGAGACTATTTAACAGATACAGGATTTATGATAAAACCATACAGTTGTGGTTTTAGTTTCCACTTACTTGACATTTGCCATGAGGCATATATATCTAAGCCAGACATATATTCACTGCTGGCTGTATGATTACATTAATTTTTAATTTAGACTATTAAATTGTAATTGGATCTACATTACAAATAGGTAGACTAGGTGGCTGGCTGTGAGGTATAATTTGAGAATTGCTGATGCTAAACTTTGTGTCCTGTGTGTTATGGAATTCTTTCTAAAATAGCCTGCGTAAAATGACATTCTCTGGAAGAGAAATTTTAAAATACTGTCTTTTATTAACAATATTAGCATAGGTTAGTTTATCAGATAAACTTGCTCTGCCTATACAAACCAGGTGAGAGTTCAGAGGCAGAGTGGAAGATAAAAGTAAACTTTTATGAACTATGATGAGGTGGTGTGTGACATATAGGAACATTGTCTAGGGGAGAAAGACATGGTGGGGTAAAGTCATAGTTTCAAGTTTGGGCCTCTTAGGTCCATTGGGAATCTTATGAATCTGACAGTAATGATAGGTGAGACTAAGAGCAATCCCAAGAAGAAATCATAGGACCTTAAGGACAAATATGGTATATAGGTTTGGTCAGCCCTTATGTTTACCTCAATCTGTAGGTCCCCTAGTTAGTATGGTATTTTTAGAGAAGAGTGAAGAGAAATGCTAAGATGCCATTGGAAAAAAATAGTGTTGTAAAATATTTACATATAGTCTTTTAAATTTAATATAAGATCACAGCACGCCAGTTGACTTCATTACTGATCCCATATTTTATGATATTTATAGGCTCTCCGGTATTAATTTAAAGAGAGTGTAGAAAAGGAAGTGTATCTAGATTAAACATGAATCATCAGCAATACTTTGACTTGAGATTCTAGCAGTCAGGTTTTAATAATAGCCATAATGCTTTTAGGACAAGGAAATGTGTTTATTACTTTGATCAAAGAAACAAAACTACTGAAAGGCACTTGAATACTTTATAAATAATTGTGATTAATATTTAGTAATAGTGGTTTACATAGTTTAGGAAGAATGTTTTCTTTCTTTGGACTAAATACTTTTATATTGAGAAATTCGTAACTAAAAAAACAGACATTACTAAAAATAAATACAGGGAAGATTAAGAACCTGTTAGCAGCATAACTTGATATTTTAAGTTTCTCATGTTGACCAGTTAAAGTAATCTTTAAGTGGGAATTTAAAGGCACATTTTATTAACAGAAAAGTATATTATTTGTTAAAAATATCCAGAACCCATAAGTATCTTTTAGTTGAGAAAAAACTATGATTTTTGTTATAATAATAGTTGCTTTCTTCCTGTATTTCCCACATATGTGTGATTATCCTATTGAGTTGAAATGATTAACCTCTCACTGACCTCAAGTACCTGCTTTAGTGTATTTTGTTAAATAAGGTAATTATACAATTCTTTAATTTTCTGATGTACTGATAAAGTCATTTGAAAAATGTTCACAATCATATTTCATATAATCATGCTTTTTTTCCTCATTGGGAATATACCTTTTTATTTTATTTTTTTTAGTAGTAGCAAATGAGAGGGCACTTCCGTTAAAGAATTATAATTTTACCTCATATTTGATTATTAATTTAAAAACTCACTCTTCATTAACCTCCTTATCTTCAGTTTATCTCAACCATAGTGATAGTTTTTCCTTGGTAGGTAATGATAAGAATAGTGGGGTATTCAATGCAGATTTATTTTGGTCAAAGGCCTTGATGTTTTACTTCACAATTTTAAGATTTTTAGTTAATAACTAACTATTCTTTGTCAAATTCTCATTGATTCTTTTCTTACTATCAAATTAATGTGTTCTGAGAATTTTAGATTTTTGATGGCCTTAGTAAAATTAATTTTCTTTAAATAGAAGTTTTTGTGAAAGAGAGTAAATAAGAAGTTGTATCTCTCCCCTTGTCCAGTTTTGGTGAGAACTACTTAAATAAAAAGCACTCTTAGGAAAGTTCTGCCAAAATTAAGTTCACTTTAATCTTCAGTTGTTCTTTGTTAATGTATCCAATAAGTACCTTATAATATGTATGTATAAGGGAGTCCCCAGTAAGTTTTAAAAGTACATATGTTGAGATATATACATTTTCTATAGAAAGGATAAATATGAGATGAAAAATGGTAGACTGGAGTGACAAGTTTCGTATGTGCTTTTTGAAGGGAAAAAATGATTCTCACAAGTTTTATGGTACTCAGTTCTTATAAACCCATAACCTGTATTTTTGCTAAAATAATATATTGTGTTATAAAGTTTTATTGGTATTAGTTTCTTATCATGTACTAAAATGCTCTTTTTTACAAGATGTTTATATTTACTGGAGGTAGTTAAAACAATTTTCTAATTACTGTTCTTTTAAAGCTCGGGTTGAAGAAATACAGGCATGTCGTTAGCAGAAGGACATACTGTTTCATTCTGTCCATAACAAATATTGATTTTTCCCTAAAGGTATTTATGCTGAGGACATACAAGGTTTTAAGTTGGGGTGCTA